GTCGCCTTTTGGTGGACTTTTTCGGAGGTGGAGCTTGGACTGAGGAGACTCCCATGGGAGGGAACTTGGAATAGAGATTTCTGTCCAAGATTCCAAAAGTGGATGCCAGGGGGCTGGGGTGAAGCCCCCGACTAAATTTTCCAGACTCTGTATAAAGGGGTGCCAGGGAGCTGAGGTGATGCTTCCAACCACTAGATCTATTAATATTTGTCCATATTGTGCATGCAAGGGTACTTAGTGGCAGTGTTTTAGAAATATTGACAGAGACCTAAAATATGTGGTTTACTCAAGAGTCAACAGGGACTTCATAAGACCAAAGCAAGTTTATAAGGGGAACAGTAGATGGTGGGCCTAGAAAGGTCATAGTGAATTGTGCTAAGTAACATGACTCTACCCTAAGTGCTTTAGAAAGATCCAGAATGTTTCAAGGGCTTGGTATGGTGCAGAGGCACATAAAAGAGAGAAGAGAAGAAAGAAATATTCTGGGAGGCATGTATGACCAGGATCCCTCCTAGGGAATCTTGGGCTTGCACCAGGGCTGATTCATTATCTCATCCTCCTGACTACATGTAATTGGGCTAACATCTCTAATTCTTACTCTCAAAACCTTAAAGAATGTTCATACACCCCTTACTGACTAGTGAAGAGCTTGCCAGGAAAACAAGTTAGGTTTTGTTTGTTTTGATTTTTGCCTTCCCCTTTCCTTTTTTTGTCCCCTGCAAGAAAGAGTTGGTAGTTACTTTTCTTGTCTCTGTAACCAAATACATGACAAAAAAAACAGTATATTAATGGAGGGATAGTTTAATTGTGCCTTGTAGTTTGAGAGTAATCCAATCCATCATAGCAGGGAAGGTATGTCAGGGAACACTAGGCAGCTCTGTAGCCACAGGAGGCATCAGCAGCTGACTACATAGTATTGGCAGATGAGAAATAAAAATAGGTGTTTGCTGATGCTCAATCAGCTTCCTCCTTTTTACCCTTTGACTCGGTCGGGAGCCCTGGTACACAGGATGGTGCTACTACATTCAGAGTGCATCCTCCTACCTCAGTCCAACCTCTCTAGAAACGCCCTCCAAGGCATACCCAGAGGTATGTCTCAGGTAATTTGAAATCCACTCAAGATGGTAGTAAAGATTGGCTCTTAACAAAGAGAACAGTAATTATTGCCTTAATTTATTTTCTGACCCCAATTCAGAAGTCTTGTCAGCTCTGAGACCTATACGATCCATTCATCCATTCATCCATGTGCCCATTCATCCACTGTCCAATTGGCTATTCATCCAGGAAGTCCTCCATACATTCTTCTCTACACCACCATCATTTTGTGCATTCTATGATCGTGTCCTTTGATCATCTCTCTCCTCTCATCCAAATAGCCACCATGGTCCATCTATACATCCAAACATTCATTCATCCAACTACAAGGTATTGAGTACCAACTTGGTAAAAAGCATTCTATTAAATTCTTGAGTTATAAAGTTGTAATATTTTCCCATGAGGATCTTGTTATTGAGAAAACAGACAAACAAAGTAATATTTAAAGCACAATGTATAAAATGTCCAATGCAGAATGTCATGGGAACATATAGAAAGAAAGCCATCTCAAATAGAAACAAAACAAATAAAGATCAGGAGAGGTACCTGTCAAGGATTTAAAAGGTTGAGTAGGTGCCATCCAGAGAAGAAACAGGAGGAAAGTGTTTCAGACAAAGGGAAGGGCATGTCAGGAACCTGAAATAATGTAGTTATCCAAGGGTACCTAGTAGCTTAGTGAGACCAAAAGAAATGTGTAAGGAGAATGAAAGCACAGCAGGTGATGAGCCTTGAAAGATCACTGTAGACTGTGCTAAAGACCATGACTTTATCCTGAGAGTTTTAGAAAGAAGATGGGTGTTTTGGGGGTTCAGCATAAATCTGGGACATGAAAAGAGGAGACAAGAAATATTTTAAAAGGTACGTGCAAATACAGTAAAAAGAGAATACTTCATTCCAATTCTAGTTCCGTCTTCCCTAGCACCACCACCACTAGCAACCACATGTCTGCCCTACTCACCTTGATTCTCTCCAGTTCTGAGGAAGCATGGCCCTGCTCATCTGCCCTTTTTGCAGCCAGCCTTACCTCAATCATGCCTTTGATCTCCATTCAAAAGAAAGAGTACAAAGGTGCCTGGATTTTATGTTGTTGTTTTGTTTTGTTTTCCAAACTCCAGAATAGTGGCATTTTAATGAATGAAGAGCAGAGCACGTTTTCCCCAACACTCTTCTAGTCTGTGAAGGAGGCAGTTGATACTGTGAGATACACACTTCCCCTTTGCAGCACTAAATGTCACACCATTTTGACTGAGAGAGAACCTGTCTGTTTTCCTTCAAATTCATTATGAAATCCCTTCGGCCATCACTGAACTTGCAGATCATCTACAAAGACACGTTGTCATCTCATCAAGCCTCCTCAGAAAATGAAAACAGAGAAAAAGAACAATAACCATGGCCCCACAGAGTAGGAAGTCTCTCTCCCCTCAACTCTACCAATTGGCTGAAGGAATCCCTAGGAGCTGCCTCCCTTTATGAGTAATTGTCTGTGATTCTTCACAGAAACCACATATATCTGTCTTCAGTTTTTCATCCTCAAAACAAGATGGAAATGGGGGTAAGAATAAGCTTTTAGGACTCGCCGGTTCTGGCCTTTAATAATATTATTGACCTGCTCCCATGAGCTAACTCATAAAATGGACTATAAAGGAATAAACAATTGCAACATTGTGAGAGCTGCAAACTCTGCAGGCTTGATGTTACTTCTTCCAAGTCCTGGTCAAATATCTTTGGAAACATTATATTGCCATCCCATGCCTCTGGGTCCTCATCTGCACAATTTGTAATGATAACAACATCATAGGTATATTGAAAGGATTATGGTGATGTGGAATTTCCCTCTGTATGCTGTGAATGCCATCGGTTAAAAAGGAAACTGCTTGAGTCTGTGATAGGATAGAATAGAGCTAGGCAGGGAAAACCAAGCTGAATGCTGGGGAAAAAAAGATGGAGTCAGGGAGAAGCCATGGAGTTGCCAGAGGAGAAAGACACAAGCTGCCAGCAGGAACCTTGTCAATAGGCCATGAGCCTCGTGGTAAAATATAAAGTAATAAAAATGGGTTAATTTAATATGTAAGATCTAGCTAGGAATACTCTAGAGTCATTGGCCAAGCACTGTTTCAAATAATATAGTTTCTGTGTGGTTATTTTGGGAGTCTAGGTGACCGGGAAATGAATGAGCAGCCTCCTACAACAGATTATGTGTTAGGGATGTGGTTTAGTGGTAGAGCCTAGTATGTTTGATACCCTGGGTGTAATACAAAAAGATTAAATGAATTAATACACATAGTTTAGGAAAGAAGATGACATATTTAAAGGCTTCATAAATTTAAGTTACTATTTCTCATTGGAAATTCTAAGTTCCAGGACCTTTGTGGGGTTGGAACTTCATGAGCAGGAGAAACCAATGAAAGCAGGACTGTCTCTGGACCCTGAGCCCTTTCTAATCCTTCTTAGAGGGGAAAGTGGTTCTCTGCAGTTGTCTTCAAACTTCCATTGGGATGACACTTTTCAAGTTCTTCTTCTTCAATATCCCTGTGGCAAGATTCTTAAACAGAACCTCTTGGGCCTGCATCCATTGCTGTTTGCATTGTTATACTGCAGGAGCAGCTTGCTGGCAGCTCTTTCCCAACTATAAGAGACTGGCGCTCTAATACAGAAGGGACTCAGAAACCTGGGATCTCCAGCTATTCTTTCTTGACCTTGACCTTTTGTCTTTTAAACTTTTTCTGTGGTTTGCCTTACTATCAAAATACTAGGAATGAACTGATAATGTGGTTCAGTTGTAGCACATTTCGGTAGCAAACGCAAGGTCCTGAGATTCCTCCCCAGCATGGCAATTAACAAGCAATCAGTGGAAAACTTGTAATCTCTTTAAACAACAAAGAATTATATGAGTAAGAAAATAAAACAATATACAGTTTTGGGTTCATTGAAATGCTAATTCATTGAAAATATACTAGCTAAAACTCATTACCAATGACTTCCCGATAGTGCTCAATAACAAGAATGGAAAACGCCCTTTTAAGTTCAGTATTTGATATAGTCTGACTTGCACTTGCAATATGACCTTCAGTTAATAATAATGAACACAAACTTTTTCTGAGTAATTTTTTCAGACATAAATCAAAAGCAGATTCAACATTCTTCCCTAATCAAAATGTCAGCGCACAGCTGGAGAGATGACTCTGCTAGAAAGTGTAACCATGGAGCCTAGAAAAGCAGCAGATGACAAGAGGCCAGTGCCTCTCCCCTGAGGAGGGTTCAAAGCTGACTGCGTCACAGTGCACTGTCACACACCTGCTGGAGCCAGATGGCTTAGACTTAATGGACATGAAGCTGCCATGAATGCCTGAAATTTGTTTGGTGCTGATGACTTAAATCAATGTCGACGGGGCTCCTTGGTGTTGGATATAGGGGTGGAGTGGTCTCTCAAGGTCAGGCCCAAGAGCCTCTTGGAGAACTGTATTTCCAGAACCCAGGCATTGGTCAAAGAATGGGTGGTTTGGACAAGCAGAGTAGGTAAAGGATAGATTTGGTGCTTTATACCTCTGACTGTCAACATTGTATTCCATTTTGAGCAAGATACATAGACTCTATCAGCCTCAATTTCTACATGTGTAAGGTGAGAGTGGGGCATGAAAAGAAACAGAAGTGTAAAGCTATTGTCTTTAAATGGGGTTGAAGTTCAAAGAGCCGTAGTTGTCCCTTCTGTACACTGGGGGAAGAGGGTAGTTTTTGTGTGACCTCTTTTGACATCACATGTACACTTCTGAGCTTGGCCAAAACCAGATAATCCTCTTGGAAAAGGAATTTGAAACACATCAAAGGGAAAGAAATGTTCCGACAGGTTGCTGCCCCGTCTCTCTGGCTCACCTCTGCCTCACAGGCTTATCCTATGCTTCCCACAGCTTTGACAACTTGATGACTTCCCACCTGAGACTGCCTCCTCAGGACTTGCCTTCTTATGCTGCAAATTACTCAGATGATTCGAAAACCTGGCGCCCTGTGGAGGTCTCTCGGTTGGTCAGCAAGTACCAAAGCGAGATCTCTGACAGGAGAATATGTGCCTCTGCATCGGCTCCCAAAACCTGCAGCATTGAGAGCATCCTGCGAAAAACAGGGAGGTTCCAGAAATGGCTGCAGGCCAAGCGACTCACACCTGACCTAGTGCAGGTGAGTGTGGGCCTTCGTAGAATGAGGGGTGGCAGGAGATATCCATTCATAGCTCACAGCTCAGTAGTTCGCAACCTGTGAGCCATGACCCCTTTGGGAATTGAATGGCCCTTTCACAGGAATCACCTAAGGCAATCAGAAAATTATATTATGATTCATACAGTAGCAAAATTACAGTTATGAAGTAGCAATGAAAATAAAAATAATGTTATAGTTGGGGAATCACCACACATGGGAGCATGTGCCCATAATCTCAGTACTCAGCCGGCAAAGGCAGGAGGACCATGACACAAGGTGGAGTCCAGTCAATGAGCAGCTTGGGCCTAGTCCCGCTGCCTGGCTAGCTTATGCCCGAAATAACTACACACACACTGTATTCATTGAAATACTGCCTGACCCATTATCTATAGCCTCTTATTGACTAACTCTCACATCTTGCTTTAACCCATATCTAATAATCTGTGTAGAACCATGAGGCCATAGCTTACCAGGGAAGATTCAGCATGTCTGACTCTGGCGACTTCATGGCAGCTCTCTCTGACTCTGCCTTCTTCCTCCCAGAATTCTGTTCTGTCTACTCCACCCACCCAAGGGCTCCCATATCAAAAAGGCCAAGGCAGCTTCTTTATTCAACCAATAAAATCAACACAAATACAGAAGGACCTCCTACACCACTCATGTGTGTGTGCATGCACACACACACACACACACACACACACACACACACACACCATGCTCTGCCCCTTTAGCAAACCTGACTGGTACATGTGGAGACTGTTGAAAGCAGGCATCAGGAAGAGTGCAGGGTTGGTCTCAAAGCCACCATCTGACACTGGACAAAGCTGAGCTTCCCAAGGTTGTCCTTCTGCCCTACCTTCTTGTTCACAAGTCCATCCCGAGGTACACAGTCCCTCAAGGCAAGAATATTTCCATCTGGAAACTGGGAAACAGCAAAAGAAGGAACTTCCTAGTGTACAATATAAATTCTAAAGTCTGTGGGGATCTCTACTACCACCACACCCACAGGCGAGCAATTCTGTTGCAGGGAAGCAAAGCAGTAGTTTGGTTCAGCATGACTAAGTAGCCAGTGTTGGTTCAAACTTTGGTAATATGAACACAAATAGTTTTTCAGGCATTGGAGGGGTTTTTTTAAGTTTTTAAACACAGCAAAATTTGGTAAATAACTTCCTGTTTATAAATAACCCAATCCCGTGTGCACAAGAAAATTTAAGACATGACTACATTGTCGCGACTCTACCTCGTCCAGCAAGGATGACGCGACCACTGGAGCTCTTCTCACTTCAGTTTATTCCAGGACTTTATTCACTTCCTCTCTCTCTTCCCCTCTCTCTCCTCTCTCTTTTTCCTCTCTCTCTCTCTCTCTCTCTCTCTCTCTCTCCTTGACCTCTCCCCTGGGCAAACCTCTCCCAGCCCTTAAGTAGGCATGGGCTGCCAATCCTGGATTGCCAGGTGGGCACTGCCCATAGGCCCACACATATGCAAGCAGCTGATGATCATTGCGTGATCAGGCATAAGTCAGACTTTAGCCATAGGAGTTGATTATACATCTCCATCAGGTGTGATTCCATGCAGCTCGCTACACTACATTGATAATACTCTTTGTAAAGTACATGTGACATCTCCCAGAAAAACAGATCTGATTCATTGATGAGCTCATATCTTGGCCACACAGATAGTACAAAATCATCAGTCATCTCTGCTCCCACTCTTATGGGTGAAAAACGGGTTCTGTGTAACCCTTTAACATTCCTGGTTCCCCTAGGGCTTATCTGTGAGCACAACAACCACCATACCTTCCACAAAAGACATTATAATGTGGCTAGATGAGTCTTGGGCTCTAGACAAGAGTGGTTCTCATACTCCCTAATGCCGAGACCCTTTAATACAGTTCCTCATATTGTGGTGGCCTCCAACCATAAAAGTATTTGATTGGTATTTCATAACTATAATTTTGCTACTGTTATGAATAATAATGTACATAACCAATATGTGACCCCAGTGGGGTCACAACCCACAGGTTGAGAACCACTGCTCTAGACTCAGGTAAAGTCTCTTCCCTTTGAGTTCTAGACACTTCCATATTAACAATAGATGTGGGTTATCCCTTGGATCTTGACAAGTTCAGAGCACCCTTCTGATACATCTAGGATCACCTGTGTTCATATATGTAGACATCAAGGTATAGGCCAGAGCTCCATGGAATTTAAAAACTGTGCTTGAATCTAGAATCTCCCACTAAAAGTTGTGGCAGAATGAGAAGAAACAGAGTCCCAAGAAGAACTGGGTGCTTCTGGTTCTTATTCAAACATTCAACAAGTTCAACAACTGTGCTTCAGCTGTGGATTTGGAGATGAATCACACACAACCTCCTGCCCTAGTCTTTTGGCTCAGTGGTGGAGACAGATAAGACCACTTTTACTACCAACTCTTTCATGTTGCGATGACAGTCTCTATGGGGACAAGGACCAGAGTACTGATTTAAGTCTTTTATTCACTGACCAATGGCCTTGAATTTAAGCCTTAGACTTATCCTACGCTGCTTTGGCATAATACCCTCCAGGTTCTGACATTCTTTGACTTCTGTGGCTCTGCCACGTTTACTTCACAGATGCACCTGACATTTACCATCACCAAGTGCTGGGCTAGGCTTAGATTTTCTCATTTCTGGAGGCAGACATGCTACCGTTGTACTGTGAGGTCCTGGATTCTCTCATTTCTAAAACAGCAGTACATGCTCCTTGTCTGCCTGATTCCTTCATCCTCATATTCGTAGAGATAGGAAATGCTTTAGAAAAGCCCCATCACTACAGAAATGCATGCAGAGTTTTGGTAACAATTGAGCCTCTTTGTTTTATTCATTATGCAAAATTCTTCTTTGTCTGCTTTTTCCTTTTGTATTTGACATGTAGCTTGCGAGTTTCCCTTCTTCCTACCCAAACAATATCTCTTCCCAACACTCAATAAAACAGCCCAAACCAGACTATTTTCACTTTTCCTTGGCCCTCCCCTAACACATCTTTTCATCCCCACTGGACCTAAAAAACAGAAAAAAATTATTTAAAAAACAGAAAAAATATCACCAACCAGTTTATAAATTCAGGAAAAACTCCATTGTTTTTCTATTCATGAAGATCAAAGTTCTCAGTATTCTTTTCTGGCAGCATCTTCTCCCTTTCTTATCATACTTTTCCCCAGAGACCTTTGCCCTTGGAGTCTAAAAGCTAACTGCCCTTGAATTTTTGCTACTCCTAGGACTCATCTGACTATCACCCACAAGCCTCTTCTTAGCTTGAGAAAATTTTAGTTTCAAATAGATCCTTTTCTACTAACACTGGAGGGAAAAATCCCTCACCTAGCCTAACCCAGAAGAATTGAAAACCAGACTTTAAAACAGTGTTATAGTAAATATTCATAACAGTGCTACTTATCATAGCCAAATGGTGGGAACAGCCCCAATGTCCATCAACTGATGGATGGCTAAATAAAATGTGTTGTGTCCAAACCACAAACTATTTATTAGTCAGCCGTAACAGGGGAAAAAATACTGATTCACATCCACACAGCTAAACCTTAAAAACATGGTCCATAAAATAAGCCAGACACCAGAGGGCAAGTGTGATTCTATTGATAGGAAATGGTCTCAGCAGGCAAATGAACAGAGACAAAAAGAAAATTAGTGGTTGACAAGGTCTAAGAATAGGAGAGAATTCAGAGTGAGTATTGTTGGGATGAAGCTTGTTTTTGTAAGTCATCTAGCCTATACTCTACACAAGCACTCCAACATTGTCTACAAATGATCAAGTATTGTGGAAGATCATAAAACCAACCACAAACCACCTATTCCTCTCCTGGAGGTCAAATATAGCTATAGAATCCTTCTCAATAGCATTCCAAACAAGCAGCCTCTGTTCCTATTCTCATCCAGAAAAAACTGAGACCTCTGACACCATTCATCCTTGATTTGGCTGAACAGCTCTGCTCTGTTTTTCTGACAATCCATCAGGCATGCGTCCTTATTTTTGGTTGGGAAATCTTTTTTTTACTTATGTATGAGTTGTATGAATAAAATGGGGAGCTATTATGGGATGTATTGAAAGGATATGTACCTCATCTTTCAATTTACACCAAATAGCCCAGAGCCAGCTTAGCCTACCAGCCAAGCCAGCCCTGGCATCTGTCAGTATTTAACTGAAGCTGCCCACCCCAACTCTCATTTCCTCAAGTGCCACTTTGTAACAGTGATCTAAGCCATATCCCTTAAGTGTGTGTGTGTGTGTGTGTGTGTGTGTGTGTGTGTGTGAGAGAGAGAGAGAGAGAGAGAGAGAGAGAGAGAGAGAGAGAGAGAACATTGTGTGTGTGTTCGTATATTTGGGGAAGGTAAAAAAAGGCTACAATAAACTAGCAGGCCTTGTTCAGAAAACAGGAAAGGCAGAGGGGAGAGTGATGGAGGAAAGTCATTTGTTAAAAAATAAAGAAACTGCTTGGCCCTCATAGGTTAGAACATAGGTGGGTAGAGTAAACAGAACAGAATGCTGGGAGGAAGAGAAAGTGAGCTAAGACTCGATAGCTCTCCTCTCTGGGGCAGACGCGATGAAGCTCCGACCCAGGATGGACGTAGGCTAGAATCTTTCTGGTAAGCGCACCTTGGGGTGCTACACTCATTATTAGAAATGGGCCAGTCCAGGTGTAAGAGTTAGCTGAGAAGAGGGTAGATATAATGGGCCAGGCAGTACTTAAATGAATACAATTTGTGTGTCATTATTTTGGGGCATAAACTAGCCAGACAGCTGGGAGCAGAGCAGCAGGAATGCAACCCGCAGCTCTTACTACAGAATGGCACCCGACGTGGTAGCAGCAATTTCTCAGGTCTGCTCTGCTTGCTAGAGGCAAGCAAGCGCTCTCATCTAAGAGAGGCTTCCTGACTCAGCTTTAGCTGCAAAACCCTGCAGCTCATTAAGAGGTCCTGCCACAAAACACTT